AATTTTATTGTTTTATTTAAAAATAACTATTTATTAAGTAGAAAACAGTAGCGACAGGAACAGTGGCGACTTAAATAAGGTTCAGTTTGATACTATACATTTAACAGTGTAAATAAACGTACACGATTAAGATTAATTCTTATTTTGTTTTTATTTAAAAAAAAGGATCGCAATCAAAGACTTGTTAAAATGTTTCTCAGACAATAATGCGATAATATACGATTCAATTTTATCAAACTTATAATATAAACGAGTGAAATGATTGAGCAACGCATAATCTTTCTATAAGATTGTTTTTACCGAATATTATTACAATTTGGCTAAACTTGGTTTTGTTAGTTATATATTAAATGTTAGTTTTTATTTTGTGTTCTAACTGAAATTAAATAAAAATGAATCAATCTAAAGAGGCTTTTCATCGCCCCCGTCGACTTTAATCGACGGTTCTCTGGATACGTGCTTTTATTATTATTTGTTATTACTTCTCGTTGTATTACACACACATTTAACATTTATAATAGTGTACATTGTATTATAATATTTTAATTTTTTAACATTAAATTGTTTAAATAATAAAGCCCCAAGCCTCATAATTCATAGATCCGGCTCTGATAGTAGTATTACATGTATGACCTTTTGCGATGGAAATCGCAACTGTACAAGAATTCCCACTTCGCGTTTGGGACGGCAATAATAAAATCCGTTTCTTGAAAAACTAAAATTTCCAGATTCAGCCGGAATATCTCCGCTCGTAGAGCACGCAAAGAAAAAATAAAAACATTTTTATTATGCAATTCAAACCTAAGTTATTGAACCTACTTAAAAGTTGATTGGTTCAGCCGTTATTAAAATAATCTCCGGTAATCTCGAACGCTTGCAACTCGCCGACTAGCGTATAGATACACAGTCCGATCTCGCGCATGCGTTTTAATGCCCAGTCACGACCATGGCTTGATAAAAAAAAAACTTATAATCAAACGTTATTATCGGAGTTATTCAAATGAGCAAACAGATAATCATAAAAACAAACGAGTCGTTCGCAAGCATTCAATAAAAGAACATCGTTTTACATTGTGTCTTTCTAGTAATGATCTATTTAGTAACAAAATCAATTGTAATAATATAATTAAAATAGTATTAAAATAGTATTCTAATGTTTTTTTATTTATTAAACACATTTAGAATATTAGAAATTTTATTTTCAAGTAATCTTCATACATATAATATATTTATAGTGATTTGTGTGATTTAAAAACTAAAGCAGTGCAAAAGAACAAAAAAAAACAAAGTAAAACTGGTTAATCATTTGAGCAACAAACGATGTTGGTTATTATATTGCTATTATTTATCCTTATTATATTAGTGTGGAATTATTATGCACATTATGGAAGAAACGGGCGACTTATCAATCTTATACCAGGACCAGTAGGTTTTCCGATTCTTGGAAATGTATTGCAATTTCTTGGTTCACAAGGCAAGTTAAAATTTTTTGTACATTAGCATAAATTATTCATTGTATTATATGTGCAAATATAATATTTGTAAAAATATATTTTCTTCAAAGACATAATTATTAACATTATAGCATTATGATTACTTTTAAAAATTATTTAATCTTATGAGCTTTTTTTTACGCAATAATATTATTTATTTTTTGATTTATTGAATTATTTAAAAAATGACAAAATATATTATATATGTATAATAATAAATATGACGACAATCAAACATTTTAATAAGATATTTATAATATTTTTGTAAGTTTACATAATATACATATACATGCATTTTTTAGAGGAAAAATGGAAAATTCTGACTACTCTTAATGAACAGTACTATCCCATTTTAAAAATTTGGGGATTCTTTCTGCCTGCTATATGCATCCGTCATCCAGATGATTTAGAGGTAATGAAATATGAACAAATTTTTTATTGATATATTAGATAATAATGTAATTATTGTAATTAAGATATAATTCTTTTATTTTGGAATATACGTTTTACTTATAAATAATCAAACGTAATAAGATATGAAGCTAACAAGAACTAACGTACAATAAATGTTGATGTATAATATTTAAACATTTAGAAATGTTTAAATTGTAAAAGAAAATTATATAGGTACCACAAATGTTTCCGGCAAACACAGATTATAATTGCAATATTGTAATATTCCAGCTGTATTGCAGAATTGTTATAATATTGCTGCAACATTGCAGTTGGAATTTGTTTTTGCTGAGTTTCGATGACAGTTTGAGTTCTGCTCTGTACATTTAGAATATAAAGAAAAAAATCAGCGTAAAATCTTCTTAATAAATCTTTTTTTTTACCGTTGCGCATAACATTTGTTTCATATATCTTGCTTCTTATTTTTATCGTGTTCTATACACTGATTAATATACTGATCATAAATTTTATTCCTAAACAGGTTTGTTGTCAACATGAACGAAAATAAGAAGAATTTGGAATATACGATAAACGCAGTAACGAAAACGGATTTATTACAAATGTTTTATATTTTTTTTTTGCATTCTAATTGCACTGATAAGTAATCTTATCTTTTCGTGACTCGCAAAATAATAGTAATAATAATAATAATTGACGAGAAAGTGACGAGAGTCTATCGTCATTTAGTTTTTTTGTTATTAGTTTTTTTATTTTCTTATATTTTTGCGTTTTTATAATTTTTTCACATTTTTTACAAATTTGTCTTATTTTCCTCACAATTATGTCACTTCTCATGTATGTCTTCTTTTTATTTTATTGTACGTACTCTCTGCAAAAATGATATTAAAAAAAATTCTTGTTTGCACAAAAAAATCGCACATCACTTATCAAACGCACTTTATTACTGCAAAATTATTACATAATGCACAGGTATTTTCACAATTTTAGAAATTTTTGAATAATCTATGGGATTATCAAAATCAAATGGTTTCTCTTGCAAATATCCACTTTTGTACCACAAATATTTAAACAATTAATTTATAAATCAAGAAGAAGATAACTGAATATTTGCAAGAGAAACCACTTGATTTTGATAATCCGATAAATTATTGTTTTAAAAATTATGGGATTGCTCATTATATACATAATGTAGCAGTAATAAAGTGCGCTTAGTGAGCAAAATCTTTGTGCATTCAAAAATTTTTAAAAAATATTATTTCTGTAAAGAGTAAGTACAATGAAATTAAAAAATAGATATAGGTAAGAAGTGACGTAATTGTAAAGAAAATAAAAAGAATTTGTAAAAAATGTAAAAAAAATTATAAAAATTATAAAAAATAAAAACATAAAAAACTATAAAAAATTATATAAAAACAAAAATGGGGATAGACTGTCGCCATCTTCTCGTTGGTTATTCCTGGATTTGGCAAAGAGCAAAATAAAGTAACTCTAATACAATGAGCCGAAATATAAAAAATTAAGTATTCGTGCTTCATTACAAGGGGTAGTTTGCACCTTTAAACTTGCACAATTGGCAGTATAAAAAAATACGTATCTATTATTTTTGATTACTCTACAAATGTACCATGTTTCATTAAATTCGGCGTGTTACGGAAAGGGTTACTTGTGAGAATATTAAAAATAGTAATTCAGACGTTTGCGTTACTTGTGACATATTTTGCTACTAAACATTTGAATATTACGCTAACATATGTTTTAACTCTTTTCGGCTTTATTTCTTATTTTGTTTTATGCATTCTCAAAGACTTTGTTACATTGTCATATAGTCATAAACAAGTTAGAGAAGATTAAATATTTGAAATAATTTCTAAATCAATTAAATGATTATCTGCGTTGAGTCTGAGATAAAAATGTTTAACTCAATACTTTCTGTAATTTCAGATAATATTAGGCAGCTCGCAACACATCGAAAAGGGTATGATTTATGATTTTATAAAACCTTGGCTCGGTACTGGTCTTCTCACTAGTGGAGGTAATATATTAACATAACTAAGAATACATTAAACACATATACATATACAGGGTGTCCCCGTATAAGTGGCTACCCCTTTTTATCTCGTAAACTAACAGAGATAGACCTAATAAATATAATATCAAATTAAACGGTTCTGACTAAACTTTATTGTAAGCACAGTGATCACTTAGAAACATTTATGTTAGAGAGCGGAGAGACATATGTAATTTTTGCAATGTAAAGTGACAATTTTAATAGATAAAAGTTGTAGCGTTCTTTTTATCAAATACAACGATGTATGATATAACGACATTATCTTACAAATTGTACAAATTATTTTTATTTAAAGTTTTACGGGCGACTATTACCTTTTCAGTTTCGGCCCTGCGGTGTGGCCAACTTCCGACTTTTGCGTTAACGATTGACATGTAATTCGTTTTCATCTGATCATAGTACTCTCGTCAATGCCAGAGTCGAAAATTGGCCACATCGCAGGACCGAAATTGAAAAGGTAATAATTGCTCACAAAACTTTAAATTAAAATAACTTTTATAATTCGTAAGATAATTTCGTTATATCATACATCGTTATATTCGTTAAAAAGAACGCTACAACTTTTATTATATTAAAATTGTCACTT